CATGGAAGGCAAGTCCTTATTCATAATGAGTTCCATACGGAGGAAGCAAATTATACATAATATGCCCCCGCGAGGGGCGGTCATCAGAGTTTTGGTAATATGCACGCCGCGAAGGTGGTTTGCTACCGGTACTCGTATATGTAAGCAAGGCATTAGAGGAGATCATAAGGTTTCACGTAGTGGAAACAAATTGTATATAATATGCACCCCGCGAGGGTGATTTGCTACCGGTACTCGTATATGTAGGCAAGGCATTAGAGGCATTTCATAAGGTTCCACGTAGTGGAAACTAATTGTACATAATATTCACCCCGCGAGGGTGATTTGCCACCGGTACTCGTAAATGTAGGCAAGGCATTAGAGGCATTTAATAAGATTCCACGTAGTGGAAACAAATTATATACAATATGCACCCCGCGAGGGTGATTTGCCACCGGTACTCATATGTGTAGGTACGCCATGGGAGGGCATGTCCTGACACGCCTTGGGCTTCATGAGATGAAGCTTATGAATATCACTTGCCTCTGCGCGAGTTGCTCATTAGGTTGATGAAATGTCAATCACTTAAATCCATGACAAATACTTACTTAATACGAGAAAAACAACCTCATAGATGGTATCTTATTAAGTGGTGCTTCATCACAGAGATCACTAACTTCTTAAGCAGTGCTTTAGTTTTTACTTTTTAGCTTTGTGCTAGCTGTAAAAGACCTAAGAAACGATTCTGTTATCTTATCACTTTCGTTATTAAAATTAACTGAGCAGGTGCCTTCCCGCAATGATTCATTTTTATTTTAGAAATATGCAATTGCTGAAAGAAAATTAATGTCAGGAACGTGATATATCATAAATTATCATCATACTTCTTTACCTCGTTGTTTGTTTCCAGGTTGATAAAGCCTGGACTATGATTATAATTTTTAATTTACATCAGCATATCATTTAAAATAAACGTTGAATGTCTTTCGAACAGAGCGTTCCTTTATCCTAGTTTAGTCACACGACTCATATGAGAATTTTTATTACGTGTATTGGTCAGTAAAAATGTTAGAACTTTTTATTCATAAGCCTTTAGATATTGATAGCTGGCCATGTTCAGAAAACGGCATATCGACATTAGACATACCTTATTAAGATTGTACATAGTTCACTTACCCCTTGAACAATCTTTTAATAAAAGGGCTGGAATATCAAGCTCGCTTATTTTTCTTGAGGCAGCGATGCCGCTTTCGTTATACCAGAAGACGACAAATTCTACCAATTATTACTGCAGCTGTTCGAAGAACAATAATGACACATCTTGCTGTTTTTGCCAATAATGGCAGTCAGTCGGCGGCTGAAACGTCAATATTGACCGATATTCATTCACTCTAAACTGTAAAACAATTTAATTAAGTATTTTGTAATACATTTACCAATTTACTTTCACATTTACTTATACGGAAACATTAATTGAGTACCAAGAGAAAACACTCTTAAAATAGTTTTTATGATAAACGACCAAGACAGACGTAAAGTATTGCAAAATTTACTTTAATGTAGGTACTTTAATTTTTTAAACAAAACGCACCTTGAATTGCCGTCAAGTTTTACTCACGGCTTATTATTACTTTTTCAAACAAGCGTATTGCACAATTTAACATATTTGTTTTAAATATCCCTTATCACAAGGGCTGCAAAAACTATCAAAAGGAATAATAGTTTTACTTACGGTTCCTTCACTTTTAACACGTAAAGTACCTATTTGGAATAACACGAACGGCAAAAACCGTTAAAATAAAATAGTTTTACTTACAGTTTTATCACTTAATAATAATAAAACCTTTAAAATCTCACTACGATCGCTCAGATTGAGGACGTGTTGCTTCGACGGGAGTCAGAACGCCAATGAGTTAATATGGCGCTGTTAAAACATAGGAAAACAAAAATGGCCGCGCTTCTGCCAGGTGTCGCCACTGGACCGGATACAAGGTGAATAAAAGTACGGAAACTGATGGTAATTCGACGGGAAACGGAAGTGCTATCTCAATATAAAGCTTTCAGTGACGGTCAAGTAGTTTAATAAAATGTTTAAGAAATTGTAAATGCAATGTACTTAATAATCAACAATAAGTATTAAAATAGCAAGTTTTTTTTAAATATTTGTTGTGAGTAGTTATATAAAGCAAAATAATTGTATAATTACTGATTCTTCAGTTGTCCTAACTTTTTGTTTCTACCATATACAATACTAGAGGTTGCTACGGTTTTACCCGCGTTAATTTGAACTCAATGGTTATAGTGAGTCAATGTCAGCGATACAAAATCAAAGCTAAATACTGTCCGCGTATGTTTAAACTTATGCAGCTAAATTCGATTTAACAACAACGAAACAGTTTGAGTTGTAGCTAATAACAACTATCTCACAGAGGAATAAGGCTACAAATAACAAAATGTTATTTCGCACATACGACCTTTTGTTTTATAAAACGAACTCTTGTTCCTTTTATAAATTATATCTGGTACTTATAAAAAACGGAAAAGGTGAAAAAAGGAAACGGTGAGATCAACCTTTAGACCCACAAAATAAAATATTTTCTACCATTCATTAGCCAGCGAGTTACTTCGTTTTGTATTAATTGAACTGAACTTATTTAAATAAGGTCTCATGATTTAGGTGAGGCTATATTTACCGAGATGGATTTTACGCTCTGACTCGTTATCTAAAGAATTGTTGATTGAAGGAGTTAATATAAGATGGAAATACGCTGTCGCGGACTTTTTTCATGGAACTTTTTAAGGGAATCAATTAGATTTTTGTGTTTACGTAATGCACACAACGGAAGCTCTAAAATGTTATATTTTTTTAATTATATCCGTTATTATTTCCCACGTTTGCAACATTTTTCATCAATGTTTCGCGCCTTTCGGTTATTAGCCTTTCTCGATAAATCTTTTTTTTTTAAATCCGACCAGTAGTTCCTGAGATAAGCGCGTTCAAGCAAACAAACCAACTCTTCAGCTTTATAATATTAGTACAGATAAGGACATTTTGTATCTTGATAAATGTCATTGGATAACTCTGCCTGGTCAGTGGATAGAGACAATCAGTCGAAGTAGAATTGGGCTGTCAAGGAATCGATGGTTGATGGAGTGAGCGTGTCATGGAATAAGATGAGGGAAAATATAAAGAGAACTACAAAGAATGACAAGTGTCTGGACTAACAAATGTTTTTATTATTATTTATTAGGGTTCCGTACCTCAATCGGTAAAAACGGAACCCTTATAGGATCACTCGGTTATTTGACTATGTGTCACAGTCGATTTGATCGAGCTCTACTGGACCGATCAGGTTAAAATTTGGTATAAGAGGATATAATCTCCGTTTTTTTTTTAAATAAAGGGAATATAGCTCTCTTCAAGTTGTAAACTTCTTATAGGTTACCTCCGTCCGTAATCCTACGTGCCCTGGTCCGACACACATTTGGCCGGTTTTTTATGAACATACAGACAAATTACAAGGTTCACAAGTATTGTGTAACATAAACTCATTAGAGTTTACCACGCATCAGAGATTCAGATTAATAATGTTAAAATCTTGCTTGGCCTTTGAGACCACTATGTCTGCTTTGATTTCAAAAGAAAAAGAGTAGTATAGATAATTGTTTTTTAGGTAATAGATCTTCTTTGATAACACGTTTTGGTACTAACACGTTTATTATGTTATTAGTTGAATTAGCCAAAGTTTGTAAATCTTACTTACTTACAGGCGAAAATCATTTGGGCTCAATCCCATTAAGAAGAAGAAATTCTTCGAGATAACAAGATTTATCACAAGCGTTTGCGATCCCAAAAGTTAGTTACCGACTTCTTTGACTATACATGATAATTAACGAGCCCATTTCTGGTCGCGTGATCTCGTGAATAATTTACAGCTATATTATTTATTGACTTACCTACCTATTCATACTTAGGTCAAAGTTAAGATCCAACCTAATATTATAAATGCGTCTATTTGTCTGTCTGTTATCTCTTCAAGTTTTTCAAAACCATTGAAACGATTTGCATGTATATAGTTTGGTATAGAGATAGTGTAAGTCCCGGGAAAGGGTATAGGATAATTATTATCCTGGAAATAATCTTTTAAGGGGATAAACGGGGATGGGGGGGGGGGGGCGTATTTACTGTTTGTGAACTTGACAACAGTCTCTCCTTTTCACTCCCTCCCTATAAATTATGAAAAGGACAACCTGCTATCAAAATGATAAATAGCAAACGAATAGCCAAGTAGAGTGATGACACAACAGAACAGAATTTGTTAAAAAATGCACAAGACATTTTAATATTTTGCTAAGTAACCAGATATTTTGTAGGTGTAAATCTGAATAAACAATAACATATCCTTGGCACCTCTGTGTAAAGCTTAAATGATGCAAGCTCGTAGGAGTGCTGTGAGAAGATCCATTGCAACACAAGTCAAGTTTCATCAGGCATTGTTCCAAACTAATTATACGCTCAAGCAAAACTGAATGAATTAAAATTACTCGTTTATGAGACACCTACAAGTTCTATTTACATGCCTTATCTTAATGTTACATCTGCATTCTGGGTTTCAAATGCTAGTTATTACAATTTTGGATTTCATTGTGGTAGGAATAAAATGATTGACGTTTGAAGGTTTACGTTAAGAGGAGGTAGGGCAAAGCGGATTTTCCTCCACATTACATTATTATATTTAGTGATGTTCTGTGCAGTGAGTTAAATTCTATGGATCTACGGGGTAGGGAATGGGGTTCTAGCGAGCAAGATGATGTTGGCTGTAGCGCCTTGCCTAATGTATATCTCGACCGCAACAGATATTTCAAGGCTGGTCTTCATTTAAACTTGAAATCAGTTAGGAAGACGCCATTTGCTGCGCTTATTTTAAGAAAAATGTAAAATAAGGGCAGGAAAGGTTAAGATTAAGATTAATATTAATTAAGTTAAGATTGTAGAAAAATATAAAAAAATACCAACTTACCATTTGGACAGGTAAACAGATTTCCCTGAAATCAAACAAAATCAAATATGAATAAAAAATACACAGTGCAATTATTATAGATATTACAGAATAGAAAATGCTTGAAGTGTTATGGTTTCTTTTTCTTTATTTTCGTTGTGTTTTTTTTCTATTTTGCTTTAACTTTTTGTCGAATCAATACCGAAAAGTATCAAGATAGCTACAACAGTGTTATGTCTACGTTAAATTTAATCACTGTTTCATAGTTGAAAGCTCAATAAGAATACCTAACATCCAAAATCTTAACAGGAGTATGCTTAGGTACATGCTCGATATTGTTCAAGAGCGTTTTAAAAGTTAATGTTTTCGGCCATCGAAAAAGCATGCAGATTGATTTGTGTCTAATGTTAAGGCGTCGTTAGGAGTATAATCGATTGGGCTGGCCAACTGCACCGGTCACGGCTGTCGTGTCCTCGGTAAGCCACTTTCCCCGCTTTGGCAAGCAATTTCCAATATAAGCGGCTGGTTGTGAACGAGCAAAATTGATATTTTCCTTTGTAAATATCCTTTTTTAATTAACTTTCATAATAGGATCAGTAAAAATATAAACTACATAAAAGTATACATGTAGGTACGATTAAAGGTTTGTTTGATCTGTAAGGCCGTATTTAAACGTAGGACAGAATTGCAGGAAATTTATTGAAATATTGACACTCAGACGAAGTCGCGGGCACCCACTAGTATACCTATATTTGTTTAATTATTTATGTTTAATTTTTTTTATAATCTGGAATATTTAATCGGAAACCATGTTGATGACAACACCAATTTGCTTTCTGTTCTCAAGAGTAGATTTCTTTAGATTCTTTTGCAGTTTTAATTACTTTGATTACAATGACAGTAATTCCTATTATATGTGAAATGTACATACATTATTTTACACGTCACATTTTGGTTGAGGTCAAGTGACATCGTTTGCACCACAGAATAAATCAAATGCGTCAATTGAGGGTCTACTTTATAAGTTAACTTATAAGTCAATATGCAATTTGTCATTCGAAACAGGTTTCTGTTTTTATTCCGGACTCCATTTCTATTTATAAACTAGTTGACCTCGCATACTTCGTACAGTTTAAAATAATTTGGAAGAAATGACAGACCCGAGTCTATCGTACCAAAAGGGACGAACGTCAAATGTTTGACAGGGAAGAAGATAGAACAGTTTATATGGAAAATTAAATTGACGTTTTTACTATCTGCCTAGTAATTTTTCCATATTTTCTCACCTTTTAAACCTTCCCTAGGCCTCCATGAACATTTGAATCCGTTCAGCCGTTCTCAAGTTTTAGCGAGACTAACGAACAGCAATTGATTTTTATATATATAGATAAAAATGCCTCATAACTGGTTTAACTACTAAATAATTCTGGCATGATTCATTAAACTTAAAACTTAATTCAACATTAGTCTCATCTTTTCATTCTGTATAAAGAATCACAAGGATACACTGTTGTCAAATTTTAGTTAAGGTTTAGAGAATCATGCCAGAATCGACACTACTATAATTTGTAATACAATTAATAAAAGAATCTCCTCTCTTCTTCTCTCTCTTATTACGTATGACTAATGTATGAAAATTATGTTTTAAAATATCAAAATTTACAAAATTATGTTCAATTCACACGTATAGCTATATGGTAAGAAGGTTGAGTCGTAAACAATTTAATGGCGCGATTACACTTATTCGTTCGCCCGAATACGAGTGCCAGTGGTATTCGGGTAAACGACTAAGTGTAAATGAACGGAGTCGAATACGCTCGTATTTGGATAGTTTTCTTCGGGTCTTCCAGCCCGTATTCTAGTGTAAATATTGCTTTGGATGCTCTAATTCGAGTAATGTCTTTCGTACACCCGAATATGGGCGAACGACCAAGTGTAATTGAGCCATTAGCATAAATTAAGGGAAAACATAGTACTGTAACACTGTGTAACATTCGGTCGTTTATACATCAATTCCCAGCAGAAAACCAGTGGGTGCGTTGCGGTTGCATGTTCTGTTATGTGGTCGAAACTTTATCATGACAAAGCCGAGTTTTCGATACGGTTTATTTTAAATTATGAGCTTTCAATGTAAAAATGTTTATACTAATATTATAAATGCGAAAATGTGTCAGTCCTGAAAAATATAGTTTTTATACCACTTGTGGTCTTCTGAGGGGCTAAAAAGAGAGGTGGAAAGCATGGGAAGCCAATTTTTGTCAGGCAGACAAAGTCGCGGGCACTCACTAATTACCAATAAAACACTTTTTAAACGGATTAGAACTGTGCTTTTAATATTTTACATATTCCTGACGCTTCGGATCCTTTACAGATTTCGTGTGCACGAGAATCTTTTTAAATAAATTAAAAAGAAAATATAAGAAAAATAATGTTACCAATAGTATAATAATTTATTGAGTACACAGAACTAAGATAACATTGTCATGATAATAAAATAATATACAGCTTGATGCCAGGACAGAGATAAAATTTAAAATTATGTTTTTGTTTCTTTTTTTTGTAAATATACTTAATTTTACATTGTTTAGACAAATTAAGTGACAATTTGTCAGTTCACCCCTGCTACGAACTTATTCCATTCCGTTATTTTTGCATGAAAATCACCACAATAAAAACACAACTGCATAAATGCTTTATCAGTTGTTTTTCAATAAATTTCTATTCTCAGATAATTATTTTGTATCATTGTCTGTTAAATTGTTTGGTGAGATTTGATATTGATTAAATTCAGTTAAAACGCAGTTTAATAGTGATATCACATTACGAAATAGGGATATCTAAGGATTTTTTTCCTATAAAAAATCAAGGCTTCTTTTGTAAAATTTTTGTTACCTACAAAAATGTTGCAGCTTACCGTATTTAAAGAAATACGATAAAAATACAATATCATTTCCCATTTATGAACCTTTGATACTTTTAAAAGTTGCTTAGTTGCTTAGGTATAATGTGAAAAGGTGGTGCTTCCTTCAGCCTAATCTAAGCTAGACTAGAGGAAACCCAGAACGTCCATGAAGGTCTGATAACATAGTGATCAATGCATTCACCCAAAGGTTCAAATCCACTCTGAGCCAACTCGATTTTCCCAGTGATCAGATTTCTCAGATTTTCCAAGTTTCAGACTCCAAAAATCAAGAGGTTCATTTCTGAGTTGTAGTATTGCATTGTTTAATAAAGTTACTCAAGATCTGATTGAGCTTCCACTGACCTAATTTAAATATCAGATCAAGAATACTCTAATGAATAAGAGCTATTATAAAGTTGATGATTTATCTAAATGATCGTAATGTATGGACATAGTGTTTCTTATATTTTGTTATTTAATGGGTATTAGTCATTTTTCATAACAGTAATATGGTCTGTAATGCCGCTTCCTATATCCTAAAAACAAAGTTAACTATAAAAAATATTGTAACTATATATCTTTATTCTAAATTATGTAATGATAGGTGACTTCAGAAGTATCTCTGAAGTCATTTTTCAACTTGAGGACTCTGTATATAACAATACAAGGAGAAATAAACAGCCCTTGCTGAGTTTCTTGCCGGTTCTTCTTTGTACAAGGTGTCACGCCGTAGTTTTGCGAACCGAATGGCGTAGCTACTTGACCTTCACGAGTGCTTGTAACAGCCTAGATGAATAAATGATTTTTGTGTTTGAATTTGAATCAATCTCTTTTAATACAAAAAAATGAGGTCAATAATGGGAAATTCATCAGTACAACTTTCCCGGCTTAATGTAAGGAATGACATATTACGCATTGATTCCGCTTAATATATAACCGGCTGACTTTGTTACGTTGTTATCATTCTGATTGATGAGAACGTTGTTCGACGGTGTTTTTCTGCTCCATTTACACGGAAATGCAATTTGTTCCTGTTTGATATGGAGTGATAAATGAATAGTTCTTGGTATTTTTTCATGAAAGGTTATAGTTTTTTATGTTAAATAAGTGAGAATCAAGAATATGACCCGCATGACTGTAAGCAACCAACAAGGTGTAGGTCTTGTTCTTTTAAGTGTATAAATAAAAATGAATCGCCGAATTGTATGTACGCACATAACTTTCGTAAGACTGCACCAAATCGGATAATTATTTTTGTTTAGTATTCGTTATAGTCACGACAAGGTTTGTATATAAGCAAAGTAAAAAACAAATAAAATACCTGCAATAACAGAGAACTTTGGAAACTTTTCTATTCGACAGAAACACAACACTACCAAGTTAGTAACTATAACTTATTTCTCTACAATATTTTGTAGGATGGATGTTACAGGCTCTTGAATTCAAGTGGAAAATCATGTTAAAAGGTAATGGTTTCACATTTTTTGGTGGCTCCCTGGTACCGTACAGTTTTTCTTGTATTTTTGTAATGACGCATTATAAGAATTAATCATAGACAGATAGATATTAATGTATGTTCGTTATGACGTTCAAGTTATAATATATTTAATAACTTTTCAATAACCTTTGTTCAGCTCATGATGAAAAGTTCTTTAATTTTTATATGCATAGAAGTCAAATATTTATAATAACAAGTCCTTACAAAGAAAAGCGTTTTGCTTTCAGTTTATTTTCCTTTAACCTATTTATATCCGGAGCTACTTTTAAAACTAAATCTTCGTTCTGTACCTACATTAAACATGTTTTATGTAAATGATACAAAAACTTCTATAAAAAAAGGAATTTATGTTTCGTTTTATGATTTTCTTATATCTAATACAATTTAGTATCGCTCGTACAACCTTAACGAAAAACAGATTGAGCTTTACACCAATTACGACATGTAAATGTCTCAAAGATCACATTATTCACATGTACCCGCCCAGATAGAGCTATAAAAGGCAATTTGCCGCGGTAATAAAACAGCTTAAAACACCTTGTGGCATTGACACATTAAACGAATAAATTTTTATTTCAAGCACGGCCTACGGTAATTGCGTTAACATTTTATCAAAAACCACGCCAGTCAGAGTAATGACATCGTGAATCTTGTTTAATTAATTATGACGTTGGACATTTTTTTTATATATTCACTGCCTACGTAACGTGTTTGGTGTATCTCTCTGGGATTATGAATTTAATATCATTGTATTAAATTTATTTTATGTAAGTTTTTTTATTATTGAAATTTCTTCGTGAAAACTATAGAATAAGATAGTTTGCCATACTTATGATGGACTTTGATCCTTGACAGATAACGAGGTGAAGATGATCATCACCATCATCATCCTATTAATACCCACTGCAGGGTCACAGGCCTTTCTTATGGTGGGAATAGAGGATTAGGCTGTGATCAAACACGCGGGCTCAGTGCAGATTCGTGGGTGCTAGCAACTTCAGACGCAGCCGGGAACAAAGGCTTAGCGTGCCTTTCGAAGCGAGGAGGAGCTCGAGATAATAAGTACTTGGTCACCCATCCATTGCGAAAGTTTCACGATCAAAGGCCGTATGCACTAACCACCTGCGCCATCGAGCTCAAGCAAAAGCAAACAAGGTAGATATCATTCAAAAGACTAACAATTTGGGCGCAACCAAAAGTCATGGCCATTTGTTATTTTTTTTTCATGGCGTTTGCCCTACACGTTCAGCCCTATCTATATATAGGGCTCAGGTATGGTGGGAGTACTTCACAAGGTGCAAAGGTTGCCTCCCTTAAATTATACTGCCGCGCTCGAGTAAATCCTCGCTTAGGCTCCCCAGTAGGGGAGAGTAAAAGGGGAGTAATAAAGAAAGTCTCACTTCAATAACTATTCGTTTAGTCAAAAATAATGAAATGTACCACAATGCATTGGGAAACGTATATGCAATAGATAAACATGTCTGTTTGGTTTGTTTTCCATACAATGCGTTCCGGCAATATGATTGAGATACAGCCTGAGGAGTAAGAACGTCCGGTAATCATTACAACAGTCGACACAAGAAACAGTAACACGAAAACGATGAAATTTTGGGTTCCCTATAAAAAAATCCTCTTTTGTTATAACACAATACTTCCTTCATGATAAACCTTTTTTATAGGCTGTAAATATTTATAATTATAATTTTATAACATAGATACTATTCACAACTAGGACTTCCAATTTGAACTACCACTGAAACCGGCAATTCCGGGTGAAGTCTCAAGGTGCATCAAGTCCCTGAAAAACAACAAGGCCCCGGGGTATGATCTTATTTATAAAAAAGTATTAGAAGAGCTAGCACGCAAGGCACTTGTATACCTCACAACCCTACTCAATGCCATGCTACGGGTGGGACACTTCCCAGATCTATGGAAAGTGTCCCAAATCATAATGGTAAATAAGCCTGGAAAACCTGCCCAAGAAATTACCTCATAAAGGTATTTGAAAAATACTTCTACATAGGCTCAACAAGGACTTTCTTATCACTCCCAGTGGGGAGTGCCATACCACCATACTGAACAGCTAGCCCTGCAACTCATCTGCTCATAGTCCACGACTGATTGTATGATTATGATTTAATAAAAATAAAAAAAAATATAACCAAAAATATAATCTAAAAACAATAAGGTTTTCTGTTCAATGCACAGTAGTCCCTGATAATTATTTTTGTAGATTATTTTTCCTTGGCTGGAACTTCGGTTTTATCTTTTTACTTCTTCAAGATAACCTTCCGTTATTCTCTCTCTTTCTCAAATAACAAAATTGCAATACACAATTTTATTTCCTGTCGTTATTTCTTTTATGTTTTCTAATATTCACTCAGAATTTGTCTTAACATTACTTACTGTTTAAGAACTGTATATTGTGGTAGTGATGAATATTCAATACAATGTTTGTCGACCGAGACTTAATCAAAAGGTTATTGTATTTTTACATTTAGGTCAATGTAAACGGGATGTATCCATATGTCAGCTGTAATGTGGGTTTGTTGATGCAGCATCGTCGGCATTGTTGTTTTATTTCAATTAAAAAACCTATGCAATTGTTTGAACTCGAAGTTGTATTCGAAGAAGGAAAATTACGTCTTGATATTAATTTAGCTTTATCTTTTGACCCCTCGGGTTCTAGTGGCCTAGTGACTCTACGGCGGAAGTTTGAATGTTCCCGTGGGAGATGACCTCCGCCTAGAAAACCTCTAGTGGTTTTCTAGGCGGAGGTCATCTTCCACTATTTTACCATTTCCGGTTTAAGGTCCCTTTAGGAACCCTCTTTAGGATTTCATTGTCTTAAGCCCACTTAAGTTATATTTATTAGAGACGACTAACAGCATGCACACTCTACATGTTTTCATTATTCATTAATATGTGTTGTGTTACTTAAATGCCAATCAAAGTAAAATGTTTAATATAATGTTTGATTTACACATCTAGGTATTATTTTGAAGATAGCATGGAGCGAATTTGCCTGCGCAATAGGTTGTAAACAATCATTTAGTCATGAAATTTTTTCCATTTAGTAGCATTGTTTACTTTTTTATGCAACATAAAAACATATTGTACTATTTTTCTGAGGTATCGTATATTTGTGATCTATGTTGTTATTGAGTGGTATTACGCTATTCTATGTGGAATAGTTATGTTATTTTTAGTAAAACCAATGATTTAGTGTGTATCATTAGATAACAGTGAAACGGATCAAAATAAAGAACAAGAAAACACTGTACTTATATGTCCGCTGTTATGATTTACCGATCGAATATGGGCGGTGCGGTGAAAAAGAAACATGTCGTTCATAGGTTTTGGCCGACAATATCGTAAAATGCTAGCAATACGCGTCATACTCGGGTTTGTTTATGAGCGCACAAAATGGACGCTCTTTTGGAATATGACGTAAATATACACACAATAATAATAAAACAAAAAAAAAAACGAATATTTATGAGGTTATTGTGTTTATTTTTGTGACTTTTGTTTTCTTGCTAAATCAATTTTATTCAAATTAACTTAAAATATACAAGTTCGCAGTTAAATACCTACTTAAAAATAATAACATTAGTACTAGAATTAATAGGGATGATGACTAATTTTTTTTCGTTTATCAGGTAGATTATCAAAAAGTATTGGACTCGTATTTTTTCTTTTTTCACATAATATAAACATTGTAGAGATATATTGATTTGAAAAGTCGCATGACGTCACGTTTGAGTACATTTATAAGTGAAAATTCACTCAAAAGTGACGTCACGAGCCCCTACTCCCAAACTTTGACGCGCTATAACTTTGTCATTTTTTGGTTGATTGCCCAAAGAAAAAATAAGTGTCCATTATTTTTTGATCATCTAACTGACGGACTAAATAGAATTTTGTTTACTGTACCCCATCATCACCCCTATTGTCAGTTTACTTCCCCATTGTGCAATTCTCACTTTAAGCCCGCCGCGCAGTTATACTCGGAGATCCTAAGGCCGCCAGACCTTACTTATTTTCTGATCTTCAAAATATGGATAATCGAGTACTATTAGTGTGTACAATTAACATATGCATATTCGCTAACTTGTGCCGAAGGCTAATTCACGGGTATCAGGTGGCACCAGAACGGAAAAATTTTACTCACTTTACTAAGTCTGAGAACTGTATTCTTACATAGGTCGTAGAGAATATTGTATACAATTTTAAATTAATAATGCCCGACATCTTCTTTCTCCGGTACTTATGCCAGACACTTTAAATATTGAAAGCAATACTAGGCAGAATTGTGAGAGACGAGCGTCCGGGCCCATTGCTCGTCTGTCTACGTAACGGCTGTTTATTTTTTTCTCTATTTCTAGGAGATTTTTAAAAACTTCATGCGAGTTTCGTTCAGTTAATTCTTTATTTTTATGGTAAAACATACAAAATAAATATTATTATTTTTCTTACCTCTGAACTAGTGGGTGTGGCAGCGAGCAGGATGGCGACGGCACAGAGTGCCGCCGGGCACCTTATCAACATCGTAAATCTGTGGACAACAACACATGCGTTAACTATCACGTCTGAGAATAATATATCTATGATCAGAGAGCCACTGCGCTTCACGCTTGGCTAAACAAGGATGTAGGTTATGGAGCTTAGCATAAAAAATATAAAACTAATGTTGGACCGTATTTTTGTAGCGATCATTTTTACTCTTGCACTTGGCGTGAATAAAATAAAATGGTATTTTCCATATAGGTTGTTCATTATGAGATACACTTTCCGGAAACTACAACCAACTATTCTAAATACTAATATACTATTGTGAGTGCTGATAACTTGACACTACAATTTTCGATAAACGGCTTTGGGTCAAGTTGTGCTGATCAAAAGATACAAGTAAAATAGGTACATAGTAAGATTTGCATACTTCCAAATTATCAACTCTCATTATTCTAAATACTTAGAATAAACTTATTCTTAGGTCAATTTACTGTACTGACCGAAAAATTAAGTGACCTAAATGCGAACTACTTTATCACCCAGAAACCTATGAAAGGGGCAGGAAGGGACTAAGATGGTTTCAATTTATGTCCGTACGTAGTATAGATATCACATCCGATATAGAATCTCAAACGAGTTTTGTTTCGATTGCAAGACCACCGATCTTCATCTAACATCTTGCATGTCGTTATATTAATAAAAATTTTAACAGGTTTCATCCAGTTTAATGACAGTATGAATAAAATTACAGCTAAAAAGTTCAAAACAAGAGCGAAATTGAAGATCAACTCAACACATGCATTGGTCCCATATCACGTCTACTTGGTGTTCAGAACTGTGGGAAACCTTTTTGTGATTTATAAAGAAATTCAGAATAAAATAATCTCATCCGTTCTCATTTCATAAAGTTCAATTCAGCTATTTTGACGTGATTAAGCCATACTTAAAGTAGTTCAAGCTCTGTCTATATCGTGATGTGTGAGTGAATGGTATTGATTGATATGATGAAGTTTAACTAAGAACTAATAAATTCTTAGTTATTTCTAGTTTTTACGTTTTTAGACATAAGGTAGTTTTAAACTTTTGTAATTGTTAGAACTAATTCACTATCTGTAGTAACGTCGTCTTTTATCTTCGATTAATTTTATGAACTGTTACTTAGAGCATAGTTGAACACTGTAGAAGTGAACCTAGTTAGTATAAAAAACAAGAAAATTGATGAAAAGAAATTCTAGAATTTAAATTGCTCTAGTTTCTTGTAACTTTGCTTACGTGTCTAACTTCTTTTATCTGTGAGATTCCAACTTGTGTTATAGAAAGTTAGACGTTTTACGAATAGCGAACGGGTAAATGGAATCGGCACAATTTAATATGACTAACTGCGCGTCAGTTACACAGTTTGAAAGTTTCACCCTGATAGACGGCAGGACAGACAGGCGAAGAGTAACTTCAATCGGGCTCAATTCGAATAACACAGCAGCGTTTTAAAATTTTAGAACTTCTTAGAATTCTTTGGAATGTTTTTCAAAAAAGTGACTTTGTTTTTCGGTTGGTCACTTACCTACTTATCTCAGATTCATCATTATGATCATCATCAGCCTATTACTATTCCCACTGCTGGGGCACAGGCCTTCCCTTGGGAGGCGAGTTCATAGTCCAATCTCCCAATAGGGAGATTGGACTATGAACCAGCACGCCGTCCCAGTGTGGATCGGTGGGTACTAACGACTGCAGATGCACCTGGGACCAATGGCTTAACGTGCCTTCCAAAGCACAGAGGAGCTCGAGATAGTAAAATTTTGGTCACCCATCAAATGACCGACCACTGCGAAAGTTGATTATCTTCGAGAATCGCATCCGAACGCACTAACTACTTGCGCCATCGAGCTCCTCTTGCGCTAACTCAGAAACGTGCGGTAAATCTTCTTAAGTGCCATAATAGAAGAATTGAATTTATTTATTATTTTCGTCTGATTCATTTGCGTAGAATAATGGTGTGGCCAATTTAATGATCATCTTCTATTTCATCACCTACAAGATTTACCCTAGTGATAAAAAGTAGTTTGGGTTTTTCTCAACATTGGTTTAGAAAAGGAAAACGTTCGCATTTAAAATAGTTATTAGTGTGGATAATGCAGTTTGATCGATAGGTTTGGGTTAATACCTATTTGCATGTTGCTATTAAAAAAGTATAAACGATGAGATTTGGATATCACTTGCTATATTAGATTAAAAACAATTTTGGGAATGCCTCTTGAAACATCATAAAAATATACAGTTAAGCTAGTGAATATGCGAAGATCCTGTAATGTTATCGCTATCATTATCATCATCATGATCAGCCTATTAATGTTACTGGGGCACAGGCCTATGTTACCGCTATAAGGCTAGATAATGAAATAAATATATTTGAAAACAGTTTATATACTATATAAATGTTTAATATATTTTAGGGGACATCATTAAGGAGGTATGCGGTATTTTCTTTTCTATTTTTATTAATTCAATATGATTTAACCATGTTAAGATTAAAGTTCTGTTTGGAAATAACACGGATTGCACCCAGCTTTATCTAGCTAGATCAATACAGTGAATAACTATTGATTATGCAAATTGTATTAGTGCAGTTCTTCCACTGTCCCATATGTTGGAGTTTGAACATTATTAAACTTTTCCAATTCCGAAGGCAAATTGCGATATTAGACTGAATATGACTTCTTTAGTATACTTTTGTTTCCATTGTCTGTGGCTATGTTATATATGTAGTAAAATTTATATCGGTAGCTTTAAGCGCTTAAAAATGTTATTTATTGATTTTATTGAAGCAAACCTATGAAGACCCTATTCAATTTTAGGGGGCCATTTGAAACCTACATGCTTAATTAAAATGTATACTTAATCCTGTTTTGAGTTGGATAGAGATAATAATTGTAATGGGGCTTAAAATTAATTTTGTTTCAGACTTCATCAAGAACTTCTGTGAAGGTTTTTTTTCTAAAACTCGAATTTTAATAATATATTTTTTGTTGCAATACTTGATAATCTATACTTATAATAAATCTGTAGAGAGGTCAATTCTGTACATGAAATATATTTTCAAAATAACTATCAGGGGGTGATTAGTGATCGATACTGATGCCAAAAATGCAATCAATAAAATTTTTGTCTGTCTGTCTGTCTGTGTGTATGTTCCTTATAGAAACAAAAACTACTCGACGGATTTTAACGAAACTTGGTACAACTATTCTTTATACTCCTGGGCAGGTTATAGTATACTTTTCATCACGCTACAGTCAATAGGAACAGAGTAGTGAAGGGAAATGTTGGGAAAACGGGAGAAGTTACTCCATTTTTATAAGCTTCCGTTGCGTGTGCAGCCTTAATAGTTAAAGTTACATAGAAATCATGTATGACGAAAATATTCTACATTAAATTGTCTAAAAAATATCCTGCAACAGCATATGTCTATCTTTTATGGTTGACTCACAATAACACGTGTAACTCCTGATAGCTTAGCAGTTCGGAGCATTCTGATTATATTTGTTTACTCTTACGTTTATAATACTCTCACTCATCCCTAATTTAAAAAAGTTAGTATTATTACCTATTCAGTAAAAAAAGAATCATAGAAATCGGTATAGAAACACCAAACTTATACATGAAATAAGCCATTGCGCCGTCGCACGTGAATACTGAATCATGCTATAAGGATAATTTTTGTGTACACTTCAGCTCTACACTGAAGCGAAGCGAGGGCGGGCCACTAGTAAGACATATATGTCTGCCATACAAATATACAACAATTTACCGCCTTATCTGCGGTCACTTCCTGAATATAAGTTTGTAAGGTCCCTGAAGCAATGGCTATTATATAATGCATTTTACAATCTTAATGAATATTTTAATAATAATGTTTTGTAAAAATGACTATTGCATGCGCGATTAGGGTAACTATTTATTTCAATTATGTGCACTAACATCTAGCGTAATACTAAATGTAACAGTTTTGCAATAAAGAATTATTCTATTCTATTCAGATGTTTATCTGATGAATACGAGCATTTGTACTCCAGACATGGACGTTTAATATGTATTTCTACATAAATATACTGATTAAAGTGAGATTATTAGTTCAAACCCCTTCCGGCGAGTATTATGAGGTAAGTGGCCCGAGTACTTTTTTAATTTTATTTCGACCTATCCATATTTCTTTTTGACACAATTTTGTTTCTCCCGCGAAAAAACCCCTTTTCTATTTTTAATGAGACAATTTGGCAAATAAATGTTTTTAGTTTTCTCAAGTTTAGTAGCGATGAATCTGTTCAGAAATGTGATATCGTGAAAACTAAAATTACGTTTTTGCATGTATACTTAAATTGTAAACGGTAAAGTTTGTTACTCTGTGTGGTTGTAGCGGGAAATCTCCGAATCTACTGAACCGATTTAGAAAAATCTTTTACTAATAGAAAGCCAGGTTATTTGTGAGTGTCATAGGCTATATTTTAACCAGAAAAAATAAAAGACTAACGCGGTCCAAGTCGCTGTGTGGCCACACTTGCACTTAATATTACTCATACCTTTGTCGTACTGTTAGCAAGTGGAATTCTTTGCCCGCGCACGTGTTCCCTCCTTCCAACAATCTAGGGTCCTTTAAGAGAAGTGTGAAGAAGCATTTTTGCGAACGGCAAGGTGAGGATGGTTGGTGTGGCAGTATATAACTGCTGTACCAGATATCTTCACGTTATAATATTTGTTGAATGAGATTGAATAATTGATTATTTATAACAGCGCCAAACTACATAACCAGTGAAAGTCATTGAACAATCAAATCTGTAATATCGTTGACTAGAAGTGTTTCATAATCGTCCAGGGGTAAGTAGCCCGGGGCGGCTTGTCGTCACGTCCGATCCGAATGGGCAAATAGAGAGAAACCGAATGGCACCACTCTGGGGTAGTCAACGTTTTGTTGCACGTTCACATTGGTTGCCATTTCAGTAAAAATATGTTTAACTGCAATAATAAGAAGGTTTTAGACA